CGGGTTCGCAGTAGCATTATGCGGCGAGGGGGGGGTGGGGGGACATGGCGGCGCGGTGGGGGAGGGAGAGGAGGGGGGGGGAAATTTGCAGGAGGAGGAGGAGGAATAATATGAGGAGGAGGAAGAGGGCGAGGGGACACGGTGGCGGGCACCCCCGCCTTCTTCTTGCTTGGTCCAGCCCTTCTGGGGGGGCGTCGTTCCCATAGGGAGCTCCACCGCAGATTTCGGCGGCACGGTCCACATGGCGGCGCCGCGCCATGTGGGCGCAGACTTGACACGGTCCGTGGCATCACATGGAGTTCGAGGGGGGGCCCAGCGGCAGGGCCCACATGGCGGCGCCGCCTTGTTTAAGCGCACGCATCATCACGGTTCGTGGCCCCGCAGGGAGTTCCACCGAAGACTCCAGTGGCAAGGTCCACATGGCGGCGCCGCTCCAGTTGGGCGTGCACTTCACACGCGGAAGTGGCGTTGCGACGCGCGGAGGTGGCATTGCCACCCCGCCTCCGCCGGAAACAATGTTAACAAATCGTGCGGCCAACAGCTCCGCTGACGGTGTTAACAAATCGTGTAGCGCCCAGTCTGTTCCAGACCAACAAATTCTTGACGCTTCGCGTATCCCCAACAGCCCATGCAGTAACGATGCCCAGGCGAATGGGGGTGATCAGGGAAGTGGGGGGCATACAGAATAACAAAAGGCTGGGGAACCCGTCTTACCCAAGACGGCGAGGATGGAGGATGAATCGGAGGACGATGAGGAGGAGGAACTCAAGGAGGAAAAGGGGGAGCGGGAGGAGGGTAGAGGGAGGAAGAGCAATAGGCGGATGAGGAGGAGGAGGAGGAGGAGCAGGAGCAGGACGAGAATGAAAAGGAGGACGAGGAGAAGGGCGAGCAGAATGGCCAGAGGCCTCTTGGATGCCTCTCGGAGTCTCTTCGGGGGTCTCTTGGGGGCGTCCTGAAGGCCTCTTAGGGCGTCTTGGGAGCGTCTCGGCGGTCCCGGAGGCCTCTTGGGGCGTCTTGGGTGCCCCGGGGAGCCTCTCGGGGACCTCTTGGGGCCATGTTGGGGCCATCTTGGGGCCATCTTGGGGCCATCTTGGCGCCTTTTGGGGCCTCCTTGGCGCTTCTTAGGGCCATCTTGGAGGCGATCGATCAAAGAAGAGAGTGGGGTTAATTAGGCCTGCCCCTCTAGATCCTCTAAAATCGCCTCTTGGGCTCATCTCGAGGCGCTCTTGGAGCGCTCTTGGGCGCTCTTGGGGCCGTCTTGAGGCCATCTTGGGCCCCTCTTGGGGCTATCTTGGGCCCTCTTGGAGCCATCTTGAGGCCTCGGAAGGCCATCGGAAGCGAAAGGGTGAGAAAGCAACACGCATTGATGTTCCTTCGGTTTTTGAAGGATTTGGGCCTCTTGGAGGCCTCCTGGGGGACCTAGCTGGCCTCTCGGAGCCGTCCTGGGGCGGTTTTCGGGCCTACTGGAGCATCTTCGGAGCCGTCTTGAGGCATCTGAGGCTAGCTTCTTGAGCAATCTTGGAGCTCATATTGGGCTCCCCGAGGCGCTCTTGGAGCCATCTTGGGCCATCTTGGACGCTCCAACTACCAGCGAAACCTCCCGTCCAGGTCCAGTGGAGGGGGTAGGGGGAGGGGTAAACCCCTCCCCCAAGGGGAAGAAAGGGGGTTGGAAGAGGAAACTCCCCAAACCACCTACGCCCAGAGGGCTGGTGGGACTGCGCGGCGCCCAGGTTGTTACCACATCGTGCGGCGCCCAGGTGTTCGCACATCGTTTCGCGCCCAGGGTGTTAACAAATCGTGCCGCCAAAAACCCCGCAGACGGTGTTAACAAATCCTCTGGCCAAGAACACCGCAGACGGTCTTCACAAATCGTGCGCCGCCCCGCATGCGGTCTTCACAAATCGTGCGGCTACAAACCCAGCGCGCGGTTCGTGGACCCACAGGGGGGTCCACCGAAGGCCCCAGTAGCATCGTCCACATGGCGGCGCCACGTCACATGGACGCACCCCTCACACGGTCCGCGGCCCCACATGGAGCCCCCAGTTGTATATGGTTGGGTTTTTCGCCAGGCTACATAGTTTTTTTTTTTTTTGGTTTGGTGGCTGGGCGTTTCTTATCCGCGTTGTTGGGTTAGCCTGGTGGTAAGGAGCCCAGGGAAACAATTGTTAGGAACAGTTGAGGTTCCGCAGTGTTGTGGCGGATGATGAAGGCAACCTGCGGCATGACATTCGAGACATCAGAACCGCGATTCAATTGTCCAGGAAACTCGTTTTGGACAGTTGCGTTTTCACATCAGTTTTTTTTGTTGCTGACATGTGGTAGACGCATGGTTTCGGACAGTTGAGGTTTGATGAAATGTCATTGGGTGCATTGGTGCACATGCTAATTTGCACACTGGCCCCGCATTGTCCCAGGTGTTGTGCTTGATAAAGGGGGGCATCGTGGCGCGTCCTCGCGTGGCCCTGCGTTCGTTTTCCGTCATTTTGAGGCCGTTCGGGGCCGTCATATGGGCCCCGTTGAGGACCTCGTTGGAAGTTTTTTGGGGCGCTCGGAGCAATCTCGCGGCCCATCCGAAAATGCGGAAAACAAACGCGACAGATTTTTCAAACGTGGACACAAACGATGAAACATGCATGGCGTCGGCTTCTGTGGACCAGCGCGGGGGCCGCCCTTGCGGAGCTCTTGGGCCGCCTGGGCGGCCGCGGGTTGAGTGCTTTTCCTATTCGCGGACTCCTTTCGAGACCGCCTGTGGGCGTCGTTTGATAATCTATGATGATTTATGGGCCGTCTTGGGGCCCTCTCCGACAATCGGGCGGTCTTCTGAGGGGTCGTTGGCCGTCTCGGAGTGGTCTTTGGGGACCTCGAAGGCCGCCCTGGGGCGCCAGGGAGCCCGAAAGGTGCGGACCTCCACATCTTGAATATAATCAAGGATAGATCAATAGTATTTGTCTTTCGGTGCTGTGGTGGGGGCCCTCGGATATCCTTGCGCGCGTTTGCGCCGCCTCGTGCGTCCTTCGTGGGTCTTGTCGGTGCGGAATCAAAGGATTAGCTGGTCGCGGCGCGCCTTCTGGGATCCCCAAGGGGCCGTCGCGATGTCTTCCTGCGCCGCCTCGGGGCCACGCGCGGCCGTCTCGGGGCCCGCTTTGGAACTTGTCGGGCAGCGTAGGGCCAACATTGGATTGGAACGCGCGGGGGTTGAAACGATCAAACAGATGGTTGTTGAGACGGGGCGGCTGTTGTGTCACTTATGCACGGCCGTGGCCTCGATGACACTAACCAGACGCATTGCGCGCGCCAAACGGGGTGCGATTGCATATCCTGTCGAACTGCAAGTACGTCATACGCCTTAGAGAACGTTGGAAATAATCCCAAATGGAAGCGCGAAGCGTTTTCACGCGCCTCTGCGTGCGAAAGCATGGTGGCGGCCTTCCTTTCCTTCCCCTCCGACCCCCTTCCCCCCCTCGCCGCGCTCTACTCTGCGTCCCCCCGCTGCGCCTCCGGCCCCCGCCCCGCCAAACCCTCCGCTCCTGCCCCCCCCCGCCGCCCCCGGCGCCCCCCCCCCTCTGTTGCAATTTTGGATCCGACCATTCTGGCTCAAGTATTCTGGCTCCACAGAACCCTCTGCGTCGACGTCGTCTCCGCGGTGGGTCGACGCCCAGTGCGCAGGCTGCGCTGGCGCGCGCTGTCGGCCCTTCGGAACGCGCGCAGGCCCGCGGAGGCGCGCTCCCGCCTTTGCGGCGTGCGCGCGTGCGCGCGCGAGCGGGCTTTCAATCCCTTCGTTGTGCGTCGCGTCTTGCGCTAATCTGCGCGGCGCGGACGTGCGCGGTCGACTGCGCCGCTTCTTGCGCCGCGCGGCGACGAGAGGATGTGTTTTTTTGTTGTCGCCGCCGTTCGAGGCGCCCATCAATTCCTGGCCGCTGCTCTTGAGTTCTGACCGTTCCCAGCGAGGGTGCCCAGCCTCATAGCTGACTGTTGGCGGTCGCGCTTCGACGCGCGATGCGTTTTTAGCGCGCCCTGAAAACCAGCGCCCGTTGCAATCCGATTCCATACCTCGCTGTTTTTTTTCCAGCTTGGGCTTGCGTTCGCGCCTTGCCGTGCGCGGGCGGCCCTACTCGCGTGATCGCGTCGCTTTGGATGCGCGGCGCGGTTTTCATTATGGTTTTGCGACCCCAAGAACTTTCAGAAGTGCGCCTGGCGACCTGCAAATTTGCACAGCCAGTTGCCATCGCGCCGCGACTTCTGGCGATGCCATCGCCCTCGAACGTGCGCGCGCGCACGTGCGAGCCACTGGTTGTGGGTTAGCGCGCGCAGGCACGCGCATCGCGTTGGCTTGTGCAGTTTGCGTTCATCATGCGGTTGCGCGCTGTAGTGCCGCGTGGGGTTCGCGCGTGGTTGCGCGACCTCCAATGTGTCATTGAACGTAATGGCGCCTTTGACGTCGCTGTCGCAATGATACTTGCTCCAAGGTGTTTGTTCGATGTAGCACCGCTGCCGCTGTCTTTGGCGCAGCGGTTCCTCATCGCAACGTCGCGATTGGCAGGCAATTCGGTCCGCGCCCTTTCGCGCCAAACGCTGTGATCGTGGTGCCCATCGGGGCTTCAGTCTGCAGCGAGGAGCATCGCGCGGGCGCTCGCGTTTTCGCGTTCAGTCAGCCGCGATTGGTCCAACGCTATACCGAGCATTTTGCGATTAAACGTTTAATTTTTTGAATTGCGTTTTGTCGTCAAAAGCTTCGCCAGTAGAATGGCACCACTGAAAACTTCGAGAAGCCTCCAAAGAGCCCCAGACAGGAAAGTGCCCGATAAAGATCCTTGATGAGAAATCTAATGGTCCTAAGCGGTTACCGACACCAGACCAGTCACGAACGGTGCGGTTCAATATGAATGACAATATGAATGACGGAGATGATGACAATGATGCGTTTCGGTCTCAGCCAAGTGCAAGTGTGGTTCAAGCCGTTTCAGGTGATTCGTGCAACCAACGATTTCGTTTATGGGCAGATGCCTCTCAGTGTGATGGGATGGATTCACGCTTGGGACATTCTCGATGTGAATACCAACAAGAAGTACAACACGGCGGCGCTGATGCGCTGGAAGCAGATCCTCAAGCTAGTGTTCATGGCAATTGCGATGACGAGACACCCGGCCGTGGCCCTCATCTTTCACAACGGACGTCGTCACGGCAAGGAGGAGATCCTGGAAGGTCGACTCGAGCCGCCGGCACCTCGACGTCTACTGCCGTTGAGTACCATGGTCAAGGTGGAGCTACAGGAGGAGATGGAAGCCAACGGGCTAGAGTTCAAAGGCTTGGCCTGCCGGGAGATGCGCGTGATCCTGAACGAGCAGCGGATCGAGAACGGTCAGAGTCGCAAAGGAGCTCGAGCTGGAGACCCGGAACTACGCGGACTTGCCAAGAAGACGAGGGCAGAGCTCATCCAGCTGGCCAGGAAGCGCGACGTGAAGGTGACCGACGACATGCTCAAGGACAAGATCGTGTGCCTACTACTGGGACAGACGCCGACTGCAGTCAAGAAGGAGGAGATCAAGGCAGAGGCGCCACTGCTTACGACCTCGAGGGGTGCTTCGACGACCGGGAGTGCTTCCTTAGCCTGTTGGAGCTCCGGAAGGGGACAGCTCGCCAGGTCAGTGGGGCCACCTGCCTCAGACGCCTCCGAGAGCGAGGAGCCGCCAACCGGGAGAAGGAGCTCGTCGATCAGCGACCTGGAGGGAATTGCAGTCGAAAATGTCGGCGTGGAGGAGAACCAGAGTTGGGGGATGATTGCTCCGAAGGGCAAAAGTCGCAGACAGCGAGGGCGAGGCGCAAGATGAAGCCAGGCCAGATCAAGCGGTACAAGGACATGGTCAACAAGGCGATCAGCTTCCTCACCTGGCAGACTATGTTCCTGAGCGCGTTCCTGGTCAAGCCGTTTTTCTTAGAAGGAAAGGCCATTGTGCAGGACCTCTGCGAGGTGTTCAACGTCGAGACCGATGCGAGCTACGACTTGATGCAGATCTTCGCGGGCGAGGCTAGCATCTCCGAAGAGTTCAGCCGGAAGGGCCTCAAGGTATGCGCGCCGATCGATCAGAAGTATAACTACGACCTGAGAAATGAGCAACGTCGGCGAGAAGTTCTACAGCTCTTCTACTCGTGCAAGCCCAAGCTGCTGACGCTGGAGTACCCCTGCACGTTGTGGACACAACTTACCAGAGTCAACTACAGAGGTGAAGCTAGACAACAAGAACTACGACGCAAGCGAAGAAGGGACCGGCCTCTTCTGGACTTCGTGGAGGAGATAGGCATGATGCAGCTCAACAGCAAGTGGGGCATCCTTTTCGAGAACCCCTGGACGTCTGAGGTTTTCAACCAGCCGCAGATCAAGCGCTTGAAGGAGCACTCAAGGGCGAAGGAGGTGAAGATCGACATGTGCCAATTCAACTTGAGACACCCGAAGTCGAATGAGATGATTAAGAAGCCCACCAAGCTTCTCGTCGCTAACGACTCGTACGTCAAGAAGTTGGGACGGCAATGCGATGGAAGTCGTCCCCATCATCTACTGGAAGGAGCTCACTACACGCGAAAGGCCGGTCGCTACACTCAGGAGTTCGCGAAAGCTGTCTTGCAAGCCTACCAGCGCAGCAACATGACCTACATCATGGAGCACGGGGTCTACGCGACGGGCGACCTCATGGACCTCGTGGGCGGCGAGTCCGACGAGTGGTTCTACTACGAGAACGTGGGCGACTTCACGGAGATACCGGCTAAGCTTCCAGATGGACCTGATTGGAGTCGAGTCGGCAGGCGTCGAGTTACAGATCTGGAGGCCGACATGGTGCTGCAGGTTTTCGAGAAGGCCGACATCACCGCCGATCTCATCAAGCCCAAGTTGGACCGCACGGCCAAGCTGAAGATTCGTCTGTGGTACAAGCCCGAGCCAGTCGCTGACGACATCGGAGCTAAGGCCATTCAGTTCGGGCCCGGCAGCTCAGAATGCTCAAGCAAGGATCTGGCAGCACTACGACAACTTCATCAGAACTTGGGTCATCCAAGTAACGAAGATCTCGCCAGGTCTCTCAGATTTTCAGGATGTCGATCGGAGGTTGTGAAGGCGGCGAAGTCTTTACGGTGTGCTACGTGTATGAGCAATGTACGCAAAAGGATTGCAAGGCCAGCCAGACTTTCGCACGCAGCCGATTGCAATGAGCAGATTGGGTTGGACTGTTTCACAATCAAAGATGTTGATGGAAAGCCCTGGGATTTCTTATCAGTTGTGGACTTGGGTGCTACGTTTCATGTCGTGGGAATGATTGAGAGCCATCACTCGGAGGTGTTAGTCAAGGTGTTCACTCAGATTTGGACTAGTTGGGCAGGGCCACCAGCCAGTGCAGTTGTGGACTTAGAACGTGGATTTGGTTCAGTATTTCAGGACATGCTTGATAAGTTCCATTGCGTGGTCGTTCCCGTGGCTGGGCAAGCAGCTTGGCAGCGCGGACGCACAGAACGTCAAGGAGGCTGGTGGGAGGAGTTGGCCGAAAGGACCATCGCACACGCAGCTGCCTCAGGGGAGTCCGACATGCGCGTCATCGCTTCCGTCGTCACTGGAGCCAAGAACGCTCTGCGTCGACAATGCGGTTTCAGTCCAGAGCAGTGGGTCTTCGGAAAGAGTGCTTGACTACCAGCCGACCTCGTAGATGGAGCTCACCACGACGCAGCACACGAAGGAGCTGATTTTCAGCCTCTGGAACGTCAGCTCAAGATGAGGACAGCTGCTCGCAAGGCGTTCATGGAGATGCAGAACGACAACACGCTGCGCAAGGCTCTACTTGGACGCACCCGAGTACGACCACATCCACTCGAGCAAGGCGATTTGTGCTTCTATTACCGCCAGCTCAAGAAAGGCTCGATCAAGAAGGGCACTTGGTTGGGGCCCGCAGTGATTGTCGGGAAGCAGGGCCAGAACTATTGGATCTCGCACGGTGGTTTCACTGAGTTGGTGGCTCCAGAGCACATTAGACCAGTTACCACGGAGGAAGCTTGGTGGCCAGGCATTGACGATCAACACGGCGAAGCACTCGACCAACTTCGAAGACTACATCAAGACACCGACACCACCGCGGATATGGAATACGAAGACCTACGAGGAGAACAACCACCACCTGAGCAAGAGGAAGGAGGCGAAATGGAACTTGAAGATGCAGAACCGCCTGCAGAACCAGCTGAAGACGTTCAAGGAGATATCGAGGTTCCACCCGCAGAGGAGCTCCCGCCGGAACCCCCGCCGGTTCCGCCATCCTCTGCCGCTCCAACGCCAACAGACGCTGAACTTCCAGAGCAGGCGCCTCCGAACTACGGGGGGTGGAACCAGGGGGAGTTTCAACGGCGCCGAGCAGTTTACAATCCGCTAGATGACGTTCCGCAGTGCATTCGAGTCAACAGACAACGTTCAGAAGCAGCTCGACAAGCAGGTCAGCCCTACATCGTCAGCATCGCGGACGACAGCGACGAGGACACCGTCACCAGTTCCACCTTCGCCGTAATCCTTCGAGGTGCAAGAGCTCAGAGCGAACGTCTAAGAAAAAAGCTGCAGGACAAGGAGATCGCTTGGAAGGACATACCCGAAGAGCACAAGCCGCTGTACCAGAAGGCCATCGCGGAGCACTGGGAGGAATGGAAGAAGTTTGGCTCCGTCGAAGCGCTGTCTCTTGAAGAATCGCAACGAGCCCGATGGGAGAACGACAGCAACCGCTTCTTGCCCTCCAGGTCCGTATTTCGGGACAAGAATGTGACCGTCCGCACGGAGGCCAACCCCGTACCGGTCAAGGCCAAGGCTCGGCTTTGCGCTGGAGGACATCGCGACCCAGACCTTCAGACCGGAGCTCTACGTACAGATGCGCCTACGGTTACGAGAACCAGTTCACTGCTTTTCTTCATCATGGCCGCTCGCTACGATTGGGAGCCAGTCTGTGCTGACATTATGTCTGCGTTCATGCAGGGCGAAGAGCAGCCAAGGGACAAGCCACTCTTCATGGAGCAGCCGCCTCAAGGCCTACCCGGACTTCAGCCAGGACAAGTCTTGCGGATAGTCAAGGGCATTTCGGTTTGGCCACAGCTCCGAGACAGTGGTGGGCTACTCTTAAGAACGCATTGCTGAAGGTTAAGCTCTCAAGCATGGACAAGAAAGAATTCAATTTGGTTCAAAGCTTGGTGGATCCGACTTTATTTGTGGGACATGATTAAGATGGGACGCTGCAAGCCATTGTGTGTGCACGTTGATGACCTGTTGATTGCCGCCAGCACTGCTACTACGTACAAGATCATCAAAGGTTTGTTTCCGTGTGGTGGATGGCAAGAGCTCGAGTTCACTTTTTGTGCAAAAGACGTTGCCAGAAGATCAGATGGAGCTATCTCGATGTCTCAGTCTGTGTTCGCCGAGAAGTGGGAACCGCTTGAGCCGAGCAAGGATCGTAAACGAGACCTTGGATGCCCAGCCACCGACATCGAGACCGCAGAGAACCGCAGTTTGATTGGAAGTTTGGGATGGCTAGCTACTCAGACTCTACCCGATCTCGCAGCAGGAGTGTCAATGGCTCAACGTGTGCAGAACTCTCCGGCCGTTGCCGACCTGATCGAGACGAATCGCATCGCGTCAGAGGCCAAGCGCTACAAGGACACCGCCATCACGATTCCGAAGTTGAATGGTGAGCTCTGCATTCTAGTATTTCACGACGCTGCGTGGGCCAACGTGGACGAGCCAGACGACAAGGTCACCGGATCAGCCTGGTGGTGCATGCGGAGAGCTCGTACGGCGTATGCTTCGGAAGCTCCGAAGCGGCTCAAGGCCAAGAGCCAGGCGGGCTTCTTGGTGTTCGTGGCGGAGAAGGCGATCATTCAGAACGGCGAGGGCAAGGCTGCGTTAGTCGACTGGAGGTCAGCTACAACTCAGACGGGTGTGCAGGAGTACTTTTGCTGCGGAGACCATGAGTGCGGTGGGCGCTATGGGGGCCGCGATAGTTATGCGGGCATCGATTCTCAACATTCTATTTCCCAACATGAGCATCGAGCAGATAGATCCCAGCTTATGTGCCATTCAATGTGTGACAGATTGTGCTTCTCTTTATGACACAGTTCATCGGGGAGGTGCTGTCAAGCTTCCGGCCGAGCGACGGTTGGTTTTGGATTTGAGTGGACTTCGAGAACTGCTGGAAGATGAAGTCGTGGAGGAAGTGGCTGCCGCTACCAAAGTCAAAGCTTCCTTTAGCGTGGTGCCCACCTAAGTATATGCTCGCAGATGCGCTAACCAAAAGGATGGATGGATCTCAAATGCGAAGGGCAATGGATGGACGGATCATGTATCACCAAGACACACCGCCCAAGAACGACGACAACTCGACCGAGATTGTGAGTGCCTGGACAACAGAATGGAATCAATTTCTATGATCACTTTTTCATTGAGGATTTGAACAGATGACGTGAGCCCGCGTAGTTGCTTTCATATTTCTTTTCATATCGAAAAGCCTACCGGCTTGCCGCGCTGTGCTAGTGCTTTGCATGTGCGCTCCATATTGCTGCAGCCTGTCTAAGGCCTCATTTCTTTTGCTCCAGTCCTGTCGATTGCCGCGGGACGCCCTGGTGTTTCATTTCGGAGGATTGCAGGTAGTTGCTTCCTGATCGCCTCGAGGCAACAGAATTTTAGAACGAGTGTGAAAACCAGAGTGTTTGCATGCTTGCTGTTTGCCTCTCGTTCATATGCGCCTGTACCCGCAACCGCTTTGGCTCGCCAGGGCCCTTGAGCTTGAGGCGACAACGGAAAGCAGCGCGCCCCTCTTTCGAAGTTGCATCTTCACACCCACCATCCAGCTGTTACTGGGAGGTGCTTGGACGTTTACCCACCGCATACATACACGTATGTATGTATATATATATATATACATACCTTGCCTTCCCATTGCTCACTTTACCGAAACAGCGGATGCCACTTATCCGACGGGGGCTCGGACGTTTTATGGCGGAGTATGCAGGTGGGGGAGCATGCTCAGTCAATGTTGTTGTCTTCTTTTACCTGGCGGCCGCTTTCACTGGGTACCCTTCTTTGTCGCCTTATTTTTCTTACGGCCTTTTCCGTGGCGCCCGCCACGTACTGTTTGCGCTAAGTCTGATATTTTTGCCGATTCCAGCAAGAGCGCTTCAGCCACGCAACCAAAGTCTAAGCAACGTCAATTAAGAGGAGGAGGAGGCGGAGGAAGAGGAGGAAGATGACACAATGAGGAAAATAACGGGGAGGAGGAGGAGGAGGAGGAGGAGGAGGAGGAGGAGGAGGAGGAGGAGAAGGAGGAAGAGGAAGAGGAGGAGGAAAACGTGACCGTTTGGGTTCTGGTGGTTTGTGTAGGAGTCCCCAAAGGTTCTTGCTTACCACTTCACGGCGATCCATTCGTGTGCCTTGCGTACTGAATTACCCTCAGTTGATTCTGGCCTTTCAGACTCGAGTTTCTTTGTTCCATGGGACAAGGAATCGTTGTGCGTTGCGGGCGCTGCGTGGCCCACTGCAGCACGTTGCAGGCTGCTGCTGAGTTCATCGAGCGTTTGAGCTGCCGTGACGGCGGCGAGGCGATGGGCCAGCATTTTGGGGAATTCGAAACCGCGCAGAGGGATGCGGCCAACCTTGTGGGGGTGCCTCGGAAGGCCACGTCCGAAGACGTCAGAATCCGCCTCGTCCACATGGGTGACCCCGAACTGGCGAAGCGCGTCGACTGCTGGAGGGCAGGCCGAAGGGCGGTCGCACATCCTCCAGGCCAGGTCGGCAAGCGGGTGCTGGAGGCACTTCGCAGGCCAGTGCGAGATGGGGCTGGGACGGCGGGGTCATCGAGCACCGATGGCGCTGAAGAGGGTTTCATGGAAACGCGGCGGGGCCCTGACATAGAATGGGCTTCCCCAACAACGGACCAGGCTTACGAACGCCTCGAGTTCCCGCTGTTGGACCTGAAGGACCGACCTCCTTCTCACTTTGCGAGCAGATGTCTTGGCACTGGTGCCTCGAACGGCCTGCTCGGTGCCGTCCGCAGGAGTGGGCTGCGTAAAGACTCCGTTCCACGAGGCCGCCGATACCTCTAACATGTCCTTAGAGTGCGAGCAGGTCGACAATCTGGAGGCTGTGGTTCCTAATGTTTCGTATCATCCTGGTAGCGCTCAGCTTGAAGAGTGTTCCAGACCTTGTTCACGGTGTACGTGGCGATCAAGTCGCTGGAGATCGGGAGACCTTTGTCCACCTGGCGGCCGTGGACGAGAAGATTGGTGAGCTTTTCGAGCCGAAGGCGATGCATCTCGAGAGCCACGGCAATGGGGACACCGCTTGTGGAAAAACAGAACTCTAGGACCCGGTGGGCGAAGCAGACCGGTTCGCCAGGAAGTGTTGCGCGGGCGACTAAAGTTCGAGTGCGATACCCAGCGCGATCTGGTGTGCGTGCAGCCATGTATCAGGAAGGTGGCCCAACACTCGGTTTTCTTCCGCTCGTACATGGCACGCTCTTTATGGATGCGCCTCGCGACATCGTCAGGGGGGCGTCACAATTCAACGTGAAACACGAGCCTCGCGATGTAGGGTGAGCAGATGCATGGGCTGATGAACATAGTCGTCCCTGCTTCACATCTGGTCACAACCTGTTATCAGAGTGCGGCAATCGAATCCATACTCCACGGGGGCTATACACTGATCATCAGAGGTTCTGCGCATAGAGCAACATTAGCGATTCGGCTGATTATTCGAGGGGGAAAGGATCACATGCGACAGCCCTGCTCCACAGAGCGACAGCAGAACGCTTGCCGATTGCAGCCTGTGGGAGCAGACTTCGTGCGCAGCCCCCGCTCCCCCACACACCTTGGCCCTCCAGCCCCCGCTTTGATCCTCCACCTCGTGTGCTGCGGCCTTGGTCACGCCTGTGTGACGTTTTGGGGTGGGTGGGTGGGGGGGGAAGGGGTGGGGTGGGGTCAAGTGAGCCAGCTCGAACGAGCCAGAGGGCTCCGTCCACTCCCACCCGCCCTCCCACAACATAAGAAGCAAGTGCGTCGCGTCCGACGCCTGTCGCTCATCTTATATCGTGGGCGGCTAGACGTTCAGCGCGCGACATGGGCTGCGTCCTTTTCCTGCCGCGTATTGAGCAACGTCGACGAGAAACAAGACCGCGCGCGATGTACGCCGCGCCCCGCTCCGGCCTCTCATGTTGCATCGTCGGCGACAACATGTCCAGCGCGCGAAGTGTGCCGCGTCTCATTCCAGCCACGCGTGTTGCACCGCCAATCGTTTCGCTCCTGCCGCGCATGGAGGGGGGGGAGGAGGAGGAGGAGGAGGAGGAGGAGGAGGAGGAGGAGGAGGAGGAGGAGGAGGGGAGGGAGAGAGGGAGGGAGGGAGAAACTGAGGAGGAAGAGGAGAACGCCTTTTGGGAATTCGCGGGGCGTCCTGGGAACTCTTTGGTATATGCCTGAGGGCCTCGTGGAGATATCTTCCGGGTTGGAACATCGTCAACACAAGTAGGCGCTAACCTCACAATCCTTCGAATACCAAACGAAAATCAATATTTGTGTTGCCCCCCCAGGGCCTCCTGGACGCCTTTTTCGACCTCTTGGGGGTCTCCTGAGGCATTTGCTTGAACCGTACTTGCTTGAGGTATTCTGACTTGCCGCCCGCCCAGCTCCTCAACCCGACGGGCCGCAGCGTCGACGACAAAAAAGTCCATGTTGACGAGCAGGCGTCCCCGCGCGATGTGCGCCGCGTCCCATTCCCGCTACGCGATTCGCAGCGCCGACGAGGAGAAAAAACATGTTGGCAAGAAAAACGTAGACGTTGCAGTGTTTTTTGGCAGGTAGGACGGGGGGTCCCGCGTAGGGTTGGCCAGGCGTCCGCGCGCGATGTGCGCCGCGTCCCATTCCTGTTGCACTTTTCGCAGCGTCGACGAAAAGAAAGTCCACGTTGTCGAGAAACGTTGAGTTTGTATTGTTTGTTGATAAACAGGACGCAACCACCCGACGCGTCGACGACGAGGATGTCCATGTTGTCGGGAAAAACGTTGACTTTGTTTTTTTTTGGATGGGTCGGACGCGACCACCCGCCGAGGGTTACCCAAACGATGTTCATTCCGTGTCAGTCCTGCTACATGTTCCGCAACTCGACGACATGCTGGCGAAAACACAATTGATGTTGTATTGCTTTTTGCAGTTCGGACGGCGGGGTTGCTATCGGCCGGCTGGGTGGACGTTCGGGGGTGTTTAATCATAAGAAGTAAGGATGGCGGGTGGGTGGGTGGGTGGGTGGGTGGGTGTGGTGGGGCGGGGGAGGGATGGGAGGGGAGTTGACGAGGAACGTTCAGGGAAGCGGGCCTTCCACACCGCGCAGAGAGGTTGGACCCCTGCGCCACGCTTTTGCCACCAGTTTCCAACACCCTACAACGCCAAGTGGTAAGGATGTTTCGAGTGTTACGGTGTGTGGTCTGTAGGTGTGTGGGTGCATGCGCATTCCGTGCCTTTCTTGCCGATCTAGCCGTTGAGGGTCTCTAGCCCTTCTCCTCCCGTGCAGCAGAGTGCAGGAGCTGGCTCGGTTTCGTCAGCTTGCGGTGCTGTTTTCCTCCTACAGCCAGCAGCGCTGCTTGAGGGGTGTGGGAAGGACGGCGGGGGGAAGGGGATATGGGGGCCTGGCAAACTTTGACCGAGGCATCGCCCATATTGGCGTGGGTCATCTGGTCCAGCCTGCTGGCATGCGCGCGGCCTTCAATGGCAGGCAATGGAATGCCCGGGTCGCGCAAGGTTCGCCTTGGCAGGGGATTTCGGATGCACCTTTCTCCTTGTTCCCCTCTCCCCATCCCGTGTTCTCGGTCTTCCTTCTTTTCCAAGGTGCGTCCTTTGTCCCCCCTCAGTATTAGTTTTGCCCGTCCGCGATTGTGATAGCACTTAGGATCATGTGTGCAACCATGCAACAGAAGAGGAAAAACCGGAGGAGGAGGAGGAGGAAGAGGAGGAGGAGGAGGAGGAGGATGATGTTTGGTGGGTTTTGTATTCGATCAGTTTCTGGAGGGCTTTTGCCTCCAAAGAAGCGTCGCAGCCAAACGCACATGGGCCCCTCATCCTTGCTTTGGGCGCGTGCGGAAAGGAATGTCGGTCGATGTTCGTCATCTTCGGGGTGCTGGAGCGTCGGCGGGAGGGGGCGCGCCGAGGTCGGCAAGGCTTTCTGGGGTATGTTTGGGGAGCGGGTGAGCCTCGCGTTCCCCCGCTTCGGCCCTCCGAGTGCCGCCGACGTCGAGAATCAAGGACCGAGCACAGCGCTTTTTAGCTTGGTTTTTGCCCTTGTTGTGTGTTATCGTTTCGTTTTTCGTTTTTGCTGTTCCGTTGTGTTGTTCGTTTTTGCTTTGAAGCGCGTTTGGAGTTCAAACGTTTTTTTGGGGCGCGCGCTTCGTTCTTCGAGCATGTTTCTTCCTGCGCGCAGCTGGCGGCGGGTTCCGTGCTCCGGGGCCTCTGCTCGCGGAGTTGGTCGAGCAACGGTCGCCACGCGCCCCCCTACCCCCCCACTGTCGCGCCGCGGAGGCGGCACCGCAGGCCCCCGTCAGCGGCGACCCGGCGGCAGCAGGCGCCAGCGGTGCGCGGGGGCGGCGGGGCGCGGGGGGGGGGGGAAGATATGTCGGGGAGGTGTCGCCGCAGGGGCAGCGAGCTCGAGGATCACCGAGCGCGTTCCGCTACTGGCAAAGTGTCTACTCGCAAAGGTCCCAGAAAGGCATGTCTTCCTATATGTGATGGATCGTAAATCCCCCGCGGCGGATCCAGGCCATTCGCGAGTGTCCCTCTGCGAGTCGTGGAACGCGCTCGTCTAGAGGAGAGGTATGTGTGGCTGGAGACCTGTGGCGTGGCGCTTTGTGGGCCCCGGAAACGGCAGGGCCGTTTTTTTCACCGTTTCCAAAAAAATGTCCCTGGAACATGGAAACGGCAACAAAAACAGCGACCGGAAACGGCAACAAAGCGGCTCCAGGATTGGAACCGGAGCCGGAACCGGTCAAACAACGGCGACGGAACTGGTAAAACAACGGCGTCGGAACCGGCAACAAAAACGGCAAAACGGAACCGGTAAAAAAACGGCCCCGTCGTTTCCAGGGCCCACTAAGGCGTGGCGTGCCAGACTTCCCTGGAGCCTCCCGGGCTGCCCTCGTCGCCACGGCCGCCCTCGCCTCGAGGCTCTGGGCAGAGCGCGCCTCGAAGCGGGCCGGGGTGGTCCTCGCAGCCAGAGGCAAGCCTCAAGGTGCGAGAGCTACAGTCGGGGCCCTGAAGAAGGAACCCTTTTCGTTGGGGAGGGGCTCCGCGTTCCTTAAGTGTTTCGCAGCTTGCCTCAGGTGTTCCTTATGTTTTCGATCGGAAATCGAAGTTTAACTTATGGAAAAAAGGGGCCTCGTTCCTTATTTAGGGTTCCTCAGGTCAACGCCCCGACTGTATTTGATCGGGGGCTTCGAGCCGGATCTGCGAGGTGTTCTGTGGGCGCAGAAGGGCGACACGGACCCTGGAAAAGCCAGCGGGCCCTCCAACTGCAGGGGGGGAGCATCCGCAGCTCTCGCATCTTCTCCGTCAGGATCTCCAAGAGGCCTCCCTGCGCCACATGGTCCGGCAATGCTCCAGGGGAGTCAAGTCCGACTGCGCGGGCGAGATCCGCGACCGAGGGTTTCCACAAGCGCGGAGCTCGGCCGAGCGCGGCGCGATGGTCGAGCAGATCCCGCGCCAGGGTTCCCGAAGCTGCCGTTGGAGCGGCGCGGTCCTCCGCCGCAGAGGCTGCGGTTTGCCGTTGGGGAGATGTAGCGTGCCACGTGGCGCCGCTGGCCCGCTTATGGTCCGCTACCCCCCCCCACCCTTGGGGATCGCCTGCAGCGAAGAAGCCCTGGCAGGGGGGGCACAGAAGGAGCCCCTCGCGGGTGGATCGCCTCGCTGTCCTCCTCCTCTTCCTCCTCCTCCTCCTCCTCCTCCCCCTCCTCCTCCCCCTCCTCCTCCTCCTCCTCCTCCTCCTCCTCCTCCTCCTCCTCCTCCTCCTCCTCCTCCTCCTCCTCCTCCTCCTCCCCCTCCCCCTCCTCCTCCCCCTCCTCCCCCTCCTCCGTCCGGTTCAGGGGGGGTCTTGCGTCGCCGCTTCTCCGCGGTCCCAGCGGGTTGGTCGGCCACAGCACCTTCGGGGATCGATGTCTCTCGCCATCTTTTCTCGCACCAGCCGTGGGCCGTCGGAGCCAAGTGCAGGCACTGTGAGTCCCAAGACACGGTGTTCCATCAGGTCCGATTCCGTTCGGAGGCGGGCGCGTCTGCGAGCTGGCTCTGGAGCCGACTCACGCGGCTATCTCCACCGGCCCCGTGGACCCTTTGT